CTTCACGGTACGCACAATCTACACAACCTGTGCTATTAATGTAAGTGAATTGCCAGCGAAGTTAAACAGGTTACAATACTCCCGAGCATGAGCAAGAAAGCAAAGACAGATTGTGAGTGGATAATAAAGCTTCAGTGGATATCTCGAACATAAAAATACCAGGAACAAATTATAAAGAAAACCCAAATGAGCCATGCTTTTGGAGCGATTACGAAGTATCCCATTAGATTCTAAGCGTGGCTACAAATAAGTCACAGAGCTAAAAAGAAGAGACGACACGATTTAGACATGATCATCTTAGTTTTTCTTCCAGATTTAGATAACCGCTGTTTTAGAAATTATAATCTATGTGTGAACCTAGAAACTGTTTATAATATCTATATTGTTCCTGTGTCAGCTGTGGTAAATTGATTTCATGAAATGTTATGTACTCTCAAAGTATCATTCAGAGGATTGGGAGCTTACAGTAGCAAAGGATAATAATAAGGCTCTCGTTCTTCGTGCAAATATTATCTCTAAATGTGATGAGAGTAATAATGATAATAAACTATATATAACATGGAATAAGAAGATAAGGAGCGATGTTACATAGAACACCTAGCGAGACGTAGCTCATAGCCCTCTTCATGCTACAGAATATATCATCCCATTTTCCATCGCTTGTCATAGTACGGGCCCTGCGTTAAATGACCGAGTTATCTCTCTAGACCGTAATCGGCGGGGAATTGGCAAGCTATCTGCATCAGTTGCTCTGTTTCATATATGTAATCTATGTCGCTGTATCTGCGAAGGATAGTATGGCACTTACTTCTTACAAGTCGCTCTGAGGGAATCCGACGTTTACCTTTTTCTCTTACACCTAGGACTCCTGTTCATATGGACCCACTAACTGTTATAATCAGTCTGGAAAAGTATCTAGTTATACATATAACTTCGAGCACCACTACCATCATAGATTAATAGTTCAATGCATACTCAAATCTTTAAATAATAGACGAGAATGTCTCATGGTGGCCTATTTCTATTATTAGATATTGTTACACACAGTCATGTCTGACATTGCTTTGAACAGTGTGTAGTTTTGATCACAGTGTTCTCATGTTGGTATTTTTGGGTGTAAAAGCCCGATTGAATTAAAGAAGGGTAGAGTATCAAGTGAACGACAAACAACAACTGCAGATTACTGGCTGATGTGAAAATGAAGTCCGAGAGAAAGTTCACTCTACAAACTACACGAGGTGACACCTATCACTAATGTTGCGCGGACTTTTATTCTAATTTCCTACCTCGAAAGCCACCAAAGAAAGAACCATGAGCATCAGAGCTACGCATTGAGCACACTCCAGAGAGCGCTAGACGCTATGTGCAATAAGGGTCCGTCACATAGACCCGTCCTGGGGGCTCTCTTGTCAAGTCGACGCTTTTGGGATCTGTAGCATGCTCGGTGCGTGTAGTGCACAACATGCCAGAGACTAGTCGTACGTTTATCCGCTAACCAAACACAGGTTAGGGGAAAGACCAACTTAAGTCCGCGGGTTTATTCACGCTGGAGACCCGCCAAGCTAGCTGTTATGTGTTCATGCCACACCTTTTACGAATCACTACGTCGCGAGCGCCACGTATTGAGTGCACAATGAGAGACAGTGAGTTCCCAGCAGTTTCCTTTTGAGCAGACAGACAACGAGCGCGCACTTGAAAGTCGCGAGCGCGTAGAGTGCACAATGAGAGACAGTGAGTTCCCAGGCCAAATTCGCGAGCGTGCGATGAAGGTCGCGAGCACTTACAGGCCAAGGGCCAAGTCGCGAGCCCGCACTTGAAAGTCGCGAGCGCGAGAAGTGCCAAATGAGAGTCAGAGGTGAAAGTCGCGAGTGCGCAGTTCACATTCGCGAGCGCGAGAAGTGCAACGCGAACTTGTCATGCAATTCGCGCGCGCGCGTCGGGTCTTCCATCCTGCACTGTCTGTACTCTTTTGATCATATCTCTCAATATACAACTCCGATTTGGATGATTCAAAAACCCATGTAAAGCTAACACATAGAGGAACATGTACGTGATATAATCAAAAACCTAGACATTGCAGATAGAGAGTACTACACCAGTAAGAGGAAATGACATGAAAGGCAACAGTCCCATCTTGCGTATAATGCTACAGCTCTAATCATTCATCATTACTAGAGGGTCAAGTCAAAGTGCGACAGGATAGAAGATCTTACTTGGTCACCATATGCATAATAGCGCGGCAGGTACGGTTTACGGACGAGCGAAAGCTCCCTTAGTTATCTAACAGTATAACTCAATGTTGTGATTCTTCATTCTTATTATCCTGTCCGTGGTCCTGTGATTAATCCTAGTCTGCACCATTTAGCCACCGAGATTCCAAGGTGAACAGTCAGCACTACCAACATGAAGGTCAGGCAATATACGGTTGGTCTACACTAGCACCATACACGAGACATCAGCCCTGTTACACAACTGTTCATGGCGCCAAGAGAAAACCTGGAAGAACTGACTATCAGATCATCCAACTATTACTGATGGTACCAAAAGGGAGCTACAGAAATACGTATCTTCTCTTAGGTCCTTCTTTCTATGCAGAGCGCGTCATTATGACTGAACTCCCTTCAACCTTATAAGATAAGAATTCGTATATGAATTCTAAAAATAATAGCCACCAAATGATTCAATTATAGAAAACTTCAAGAAGGTTTACTTACTTGGATAGAAAGAAGTTGAAGTTAAGTGCTTAACACCCATAATAAAGGATTGGAAAGGAAAAGGTGAAAAGAAGGATAGAGGACAGGGATAGCAGTGAAGAAGAAATTGAGATAAAGATGAAAAATGGGAGCAGGACATGGAGCAGTCAAACGGTAGGATTCCTAGAATATCAATCATATGATAGTTGTTTAGAACCACTTCCTAAATGTTGTGATCAGACTTCCAAGTGTGCACAGTCCGTACACTTAGATCAAGCCGCAGGGCCACACTGACGCAAGCTTGATCCCATGTGTTCACCACGTTGCGCAGATAGTCTTATGAAAATCCTAAACCTTATACCTGAAGTTGATAATGTCTTTTATCTCTCACGGTCAGATGTAGGAGGTCCACTATCATATGCAGCATTCTAACGCCCCAACCGGGAGCATCGTTTGGTATCAACTGCACTCACTAGATGGCCAGCAGACCAATCTGGAATCAAGTAGGAATGTACACAACGTCATATTCTAAACTTATGATAGTTATCATATAACATCGTTAGCTGTGATTTCAAAATTGAGTTAGTTTCCAGTATTGAGAAGAAGAGTGTGGCGTCTGCGAGGAAATATATTAATATTGGTAGCGCCAGCATGATTGTGTATAATATATCTGTAGATAATGATGTATTATTTAGCTATATAATATATAGTTAGGATACCATAGTTAGCTATATATATAAGAGCTGTGGCATTTAATAATCGCCTGTTACATTTAATATATGAACACACTACTTAGTTATAAATAAACTAGGGAAGATGCATGACATGTATTTCGAGAATGTGTAAGAAAAACATGTCTATTAGTTACCGGTATAAAAAAAGGTGGAACGAATAATTATACCATATTTATATAGGTACAGTTACTCGTAAGATAACCGCTGCCAGAGATGTTTTTAATTATTATGCTGTGTCAGTATATATACATTATATATCTTATTTAATATTATATTATATGATTTCAATTTCAAAAAGATCTGTTCCAGGTATAAAAAAGGTGGAATCGAATAATATTACCATATTTTATATATATCTAATATAATTTTTTATCTTATTCAATAGATTTTAGATTTAAAATTAATATGATCAATCAAAATTAAATTACCTTTATTTTTTTAACCTGTCAAAACTAAAATCAGCAAAATGCACAAATTTGACTCGAACTTTGGCCGATTATTCTTGTGGCCCGTGAACTTTACAAAGGTTCAATTATAACCCTACGTTTCATATTTCAACAATAATTATATCTTTCATCAAAATGAAGTATCTTTGCACATGTTCAATAATGATTCTACACGTTCACATTTCATTTAGGGGAGGAATATAGTTACTATTGAAATGTGAAAGTGTTAGGTTATGCAGAAAAAGCCACAAGGATAATCTTCGAAAGTATAAATTCAAAGTGTAAAGCCACAAGGATAACAATGTATAAAGGTAAAATCCTTAATGATATTTTTATTAATCTATAAATTTACTAGGAGCATTTTTAGCTATAATAACATCACCTATCCATTTTTACTTTTATATATTTTATAGAATTACTGATATAGATAAAAGGCTGAATGAAACTTAATGACGAAAAGGGCATAGTTCTATGTGGTCCTTGAAATTTGATCAAATTCACTATCATAGCCACCAAGAGTCAATAGTTATTTTGGAAGAAAAAATTAAGTATAGCCTTGCAAATTATAAACAAAAATACTATCTAATAATAGAATAAGTAAATGGGAAAATACATAATCAGGCCAAAAATGGATCTATTGAGCTAAAAAAATCATGACATTAAACAAAATAGGAAATCATATAAAGCAAAAAAAAAAAAAATTATCAAACATGATCAAGGCTCAAGCTTTTCTTTTCTTGGGTTTACTGAAATTTTCTAATTTCTATAATCAATAAATCAAATTGATCAGTCAAGAAAAAACTTATTTAATTGATTCTCAAAATAGAGGGATGAAATGGTAAGTTTAACCAAACTTCGGGCTAGATAGTACTTTCCCTTTAGAAAATTCTTAGTAACTCTCTATCCAATGATGCAAGGCGGAGGAAACTCAGGTCGGTCCCTTTAATCTTTCAATCCTTTTCCAAGCCTAAATGCTAAAATATATATATTTAAAAAAAAAAAAAAAAAAAAAAAAAAAAAAAACCTTCAAATACTTGTAAATTTTAAAAAAAAAAAAAAAAAAAAAAAAAAAAAAAACCTTCAAATACTTGTAAATTTCTTTATATTATAACATAAAAATACATATATTAATTAAAATTAAAATATAAATATGAATGTGAATTATACAAAAATAAAGGGTACCCAAAAATAGGCAGTCTTGCTCCCAATAATGGCAGCCATTCAAATATCATGCATAGATGAATTGCAAATTGCATTCAGTTCTAAAAGGTCACCTTGAAATGAAAGTACACAAATAAGCTATTAAACCAACGAAAGGATTCATTAAAAATCATCAGATGATCGCACATGAAGTGGACTTGATGGTGAATCATTGCCATCAGCTGTTTCTTGTTCAACTCTTCTCTTCCTTGTCTTGACACCACCAGCACCAGGAGGTTCTATTGTTTCAACCCCATTCTTCCTTTTCAAAGACTCTGAGACAGGTTTGCTACCTTCTCCAGAGTTTCCATCACCAGTTTTCTCTGCAGAAATCTTGTTCCCTTTCTCATCCTTTATGGAGCAATCACCAGATTCAACTTTCTTCTTCTTGTTAACCCTCTGTGGCTTGCTGCATTCAGCCAAACTGTGAATGCTGGATTTTTCATTATTTGCTGAAGCTTCAGTGCTTCCAGCATTTTCACCGTCATCTGCATTCTTCTGCTCGACAGCCTTCTGGAGCTCACTGTTAGTAGAAGCATCCCCTGAAACGGTGTTAGCAGTCTTATTACAGGGATTGTCATCATCTTCCTCACTTGAATCCTCCACAACGTCCAAACTCTCTTTAGCCATGCATTGCAGTGTCTCTACCACATTCATCAGTTCTCGGTTAACCTGTCAATAAGCACCAGAGAATGAAACTATCATGTATTTCAAAGATAGAAAACAAGGGACCCTGCATGCTGTGCTTCCCTAAAAACAAGTGGCTACATTTATTTATATCGCACCTTAATATCTTGAAGGAAATCAGAGATGTCTACAGAACAATAAGGGCACTTCATGACATTTCTTTGTGCTCGAAGTGTCCGTCCGCCTCTACTTCTCTCTCTCATGACGGTCTGCCCAGCAAATGCCCCTTCCAAACATGACTTGCAAAAATTGTGACCACAGGTTGTTGTAGCTGGTTCATTCAACACTTGATGACATATCTTACAACTGAATTCTGCAATATTGAGACTTGCAAAAGTGAACATTAAATGCAATACTGAAGATCAAAAGTGAACATGGAATGTAATAACACAGACAATACATTGAATTCACCACCTATCGGCCAGCACCTTTCATTTCAGATTTTAGAAACTTAAAGAGAAATAATTTGAAATGGTTTACAGTGGAATTCTACAGGCTGAAAGCGATGATGTGATGACATATAACAAAAGAACAGAACAGGAGGAGAACCTCTTAGCAGCTTCTCTTTTATTTGTCCATATTGTGATTGCCTTATAACTTTCTTTGACCTCTTCCTATCTTCAGAATTTACATTAGCAACAGGTTTTCGGCTTACTGGTGGGGGTTTTTTCCACTTCCAGTGACCATCTTCTTCCTGAGAAATAATAAATGATGTCAAAGTTCATTTTCCAATTTACTAATAAGATTAAAGAATAGATTTGATTTCCAATACCATTGAAACAGTTTCTATTTCAATGCCATAGGTAACTTTGATCAAGACCAGATGATCATCAAATTAACAATAAACAAGAAAGCAGGTAAAAGATAAAGAAACTTAACAACTGAATTCACTCACATCAAAATCCCATGATGGGCTTTCCTTTCTCTCTGTTATATCAGTTGCCTTATCAAGCTCTTTTATGACAGGCAAAGGTCTTGGTCTATCCCCATTTGCATCGCTGTTATAAAAGTTGGATACATTAAGAAAGAGAGAGAAAGACAAAGAAATTCAAATAAAGGAAACACATTAGCCAAATTTTCAAAAAAACAAACCTCGTCCAAGGAGCAGGCTCATTGTCACATCTGACAAATAAGTAGCGACAAACCTTATGGCCCTAATGCAGGAACAGCTCTTGATAAATTATTCCATACTACAGGGGGAAAAAAGAAAAGAAAAGAAAAAAAAAGGAAAGAAAAACTTGATCAGAAGTTCGATGTATTTACTTGAATTCCAACTTTTCGCCAGCACTTCTCTATTCTATAGACTCCATCATAGCGAACCCCTTTCTCAGGAGCATATGAGGAACGCTTCTCCTTGTGGGACCTGCTCATTTCAAACAGCAAGCATGAGAAGTGTTTGAAAAATGAACAGCACTTGTTAAAACAAGGAAGAAGAATTGTGTTGAGTGTAAAAAATTGAACCTAAATCATTTACCTTACACATCCTCTCACAAATATTCACCATGTGCATTTCATGAGTTTTTTTATGCAATAACTGAAATCATTTTTTAAATGCATTAGCAACATCAGCAAATAACATTAGAAGTGCCTCGTTTCCAGTTTATACATTGTCAAGGAGAATATTACATTCAAAATCAACTAGGTATTATTTGGAAAAATCAAAGACTAGGAAATATCAACCAGGCATGCAACAAGTAATATCTACCAATTCCTAACCCTATCCTGCCAATTCCTACAATATAGAGCCAGTTGCCTTAGCATCAGAAATTGCAAATTCAGATAATCTAATAATGCCCTAGCATACTTTTGAATTTTGAACTGCTCATACCTGTCTAAAACCCATTTTAAATTATCCCTATCACTATCCCTACCCGTCCAGAACTGATAAATACTACTTGTTCACTACCTAAACCAATTTAATATAAAATAAAAGTAGCAAAAATCTTAATAAAACTGAAATAAATTACAAATTTATAATAAAAAATCTATATAAAAATAGTTCATCTTAACAACATACATAGGAATGAAAAATTTATCATATCCACATAACAAGTTTCGAGTAGCAGACGCTCAAGGTCTTAAACCCAGACCCACCAAATCGATTTTGTTTTTTCCTTATCAAACCCAAACCCATGATGGGTAATAAATTTAACACTCATAGAACTCATTTAACTAATACTCAAAATCACTTAACAGGATGGACCAGGTCAGATACCCAAAGAAAAATCCGTCCCATTTCCTTTCCTAATTGCAAGTGGTGCAAGACACATTAATGCATGGTCATATTACTTATGCATTACTTTACATTTATAAACATTACAATTGTAAAGATATATATTACCAAGCATCAATGTCAGCAAATTCTTAAATGTCAATGGCCTAAAAAAGAGGTAAATATATTCACTAAAGTTAAATGTGTTAAACTGATACAACTAATTATGACCTCATCAAATGAAACAACCATCAAAGACATTCTCTAAAAGAAATAGCAGTCTCTAATAAGGGTATTAAATTTTAAATTTATTCTACCAAATCGGCCAACATGTAGTGGGATTTTGGCCTACCAATTCAATATTAACTAGTGCACTCGCAATGGGGCATTGGGAAAAACAGCTGTTCCATAATATTTACATAATGCTGTAATGGCCAAATGGAAATCTCACCTTTTCAGAAACAATCTGTCAGGAATAAGATAGATTGGAGTTTTCCCACGTTCTTCCAACTTCCTCAAATACCAATAGCTCCCCCTTACCCAGCTCTCCCTTACCCATTCTCCTTTTCTATATTCCCAACCTTAAACAATGGATTTTGTTGCACCAAAAGCTTCAGACTATAAGATTACAAGTACCAAGTTGGAAAGATAAGTTTTGGCTGTATATGATAAATTTGTGTCATCTCCTTTCCTTTTTATTTTCATACTTACGTCATATCCTATTATTGAATAATATGTTGCTATAAGCATTTGTTAACTTAATATTTTATAGAATTCGATTCACTTCAATGCTTGTTTATAGCTCATTTGAGTCATTTTGTACATAAAAAAGCTTGAATCATGCTCAAGCTAAAAACTCCTGAACCAACTCAAGTTCGACTATGCGACACCAATGATACCACTGCTCCTAATAAAATCAACAACTAAGTCTTAATCCCAAACTGGTTGTAGTCCGCTATATGAATCTTTTGTCATTATATTTGCTCAAGTCCATAATCGCAAGAAAAGGCAAAGCATAAAAAATATATATAAACAATTAACATGATATTGATTTCTTTTAACTTTTGACACTTTCGTCTCCTAATAGCTATTTTCACATTGGGAAACAGCAGCCATTAATACCATCTATAAACAGGAAGAGTTTTAAAATCCATATAATTATAAATGCATAATGCAAAACAAAAGGCAATGCTATAGAGTGCACAAGCAGTCATATAGAATTAAAATGTAAAGAAGATATAAATACATAACCAGAGAAAGAAAAATGAAATTTTGGGTAGAACTTACCTCACTACTCTAACAGGATAGCCTTTTTTGCAACTTAATCTAAGAGCCTCATTCATTTTCTCAAACTTTTGGTCAAAAGACTGCTCCTTGTTAGTCCGTTTGTTTCCACTAAGGTCTCGACCACCGCTGCCAACCACAACCATAGAATGACTTCAGTATCCACAAGTCCAATTGTAAAAGAACATTAAAAACAAAAAAGATAACGGTAAAAAAAAAATTAAGGCATGTAAACAAGAAAGAGCAATAGGATAAAGGAGAGGACAGAGCTAGTAAGTTACTAAAATAAACAAGAAGTTTTGAACATCAGAAAACAAGAAGTCACAAGGACAGACATAGATATACAATAACACTAGATTAACCATGGTCTCATCAAGCACCGCAGGTTATGCATACTAATTCATTGATACCTGTAAAGTGATAAAGCAATCAATACTGATACTGTGAGCATTAGTAAAGCAATCAACAGTGACACTGTGAGCATTAGTAAAGCAATCAATAGTGATACGGTACGTATTAAGGAAGCAATCAATGGTGATACAGCGCATAGAAGAAAGCAACCAATAGTAATACAATGCTTAGTAATGCAATCAATAGTGATACGGTGCATGGTAATGCAACCTATAGCGATACGGTGAGTAGTAATGCAACCTATAGTGATACGGTGCGTGGTAAAGCAACCAATAGTGATACGGTGAGTAGTAATGCAACCTATAGTGATACGGTGAGTAGTAATGCAACCTATAGTAATGCAACCAATAGCAGTACGGTGCGTAGTGATGCAATCAATAGCAGTGATACGGTGCGTAGTGATGCAATCAATAGCAGTGATACGGTGCGTAGTGATGCAATCAATAGGAGTGATACGGTGCGTAGTAATAGTGATATGGCGTAGTAATGCAATCAATAGTGATACGGTGCTTGGTAATGCAATCAATAGTGATTCGGTGTGTGATAATGCATCAACAGTGATACGGTGCGTGGTAGGCAATGGAAGCATGTCACCCGTGCCAGATTAATAGCCGTTAGGATACCGTTGGAGAATTTGATAGGATTCTGTTCCATAGGAGGGAAGTGAGGTGAAATGTTGCAAGTTGTTAGACAAACCGTTAAATTAGTTATAAATCTTGGTCACCCTGCCAGATTAATAGCCGTTAGTAGACCGTTGCAGAATTTGTTAGGATTCTGTTAGATAGGAGGAAGTGAGCTGAAATGTTGAAAGTTGCCAGACAAGCCGTTAAATTAGTTATAAGTCCTTGATCATTGACTCGTAGATTCATTCTGTAATTGATCAATAAAGAATTCTTGTGTCTACTCTTTGTTTCCTTCTTCCTTTCTGTTATCTTCTTCTTTCAATGCTAAATCCTTCTTTTATTCTTAAAACCGTATCATAGAAAAGAAACAGAAAGGAGTTACAAGCCCACATGCATTTGCATTTACCAGCTCCAAGAGTGAATTATCTTCAACAAACGCATACAAAAATTAGCATCAACAGTTCACATATATACTTTCACCTTATTCAATGTATAGAACAGCTGCAATAAAAGTGAAGGAAAAAAAAAAAGGAGATTGATGAATTACGACTAAATGTCAGTTCATTGAGAATTGATATTTGAAACCAACCTTCCAGTATAGAGGAACCATTCTCCATGGTCTTCATCATCTATATATCCTCCAGAAAGTGCCACTGATTGTGCTCCATAGTTTGATTGTCCAGCAATACCAGCAACATGGGGTAGGTGTGCACCCCATTGCCTGCATTCCAATCTATCCTCCCAACATTCTCCAACCAGCACGCCTTGATTTCTTTCAGGATCATTTTCAGCTGGGATAGGCCCAAAATGATCTGGAGGCACAGTGACAAATATCTTCCCACTACAAGCATTGGCCTTACCAGCCTTTTGTGCTCTTTCTGTCGTGTATGCTTTGTCTGGCCTGTTTTGATTGTGTTCAAAATGGTAAATCTTCGGGAGACCTCCAGAAGAAATCAAGTTTGACATCCTTGCCATACGAATGGCAGACACAACGGTAGCATTAATGCGGGGCTGACTGGCCATTTTTGCAGGTATTGGCTTACGGCATTTTGCACAGGTAAACTTTCTTTGTCCAATCCATTTCTCGAAACATTTCAAGCAAAAATTGTGGCCACACGGTGTCTGAAACAAGACAAAATATACCATTTCAAGCTCGCACGTTAACTTACAGTGATTAAAGTAATGAATCGTTCATTAAAAGAGAAACAAATGTAATAATTTATATGCAGATAAATATGATGCTAGGTTTTGATGAAGTGAAGATGATAATAAAAACAAACATATCTAAAAGTACAAAATAAAAACCACAATGGAAATCAGAACTTACAGTAACGGGTCTCTCAGGCAACTGCATACAAAACGAACAGTTAATGTTATCACCAAGAACAATCAACATTTCATTTACCCTCTCTTTCCCTTTCTTCTTCAAATCTTCTTCTTCCATTTTCCCACTCATCAATTCCTGTCGTTTCCTCGCCTTCTCCTTCTCCGTCAGCTTAGCATCCGCTTCAATCTCCTTTATCGCTGCCACCAACTCATTTCCACTACCGACGACAGCTGTGGTGACGATGGCTTCACCGGAACAATCAGGACACTCCCACTGAAGAGTAGAGGCTAGGGTTTCAGGAGGAGAAGAAAGACAAGCCACATGCCATGGAGTAATGCACGTGCTACAAGTCAGAGTTTCTTCAGCTGGAGGTTTTGCCTTGCATTTCATGCATACATCATCTCCGTCGCAGGGAAGTTGGATATCGTGCGCCATAGGTGAGGTGTGCGCAGGATAAGGAACGAAGAGAAACAGACACAAAGATAGAGAAAATGTAAGAGACGTTTCGGTTTTACAAGCTTTTATAGGGTAGAGAGGAAGAGAGAAGGGGGGGGGGGGGGGGGGGGGGGGGGGAAGGGAAAGTTAGGGAGGCGGGTTAAGGAAAGAGATTGAATATTTTTAAAATTTTGACAGGTGGGATGTACGGAGTAATTCTTTTTTTTCAAATTTTTTTATTTGTCGTTCATTTTTATTATATATTGTGCCTTGTTAGATTAGCATTGCTTTTTATAGTTTGAACTTTTAAAATGATGCTTTGCTAGAGGGTAATGGGTTAAAGCGTTGTACGTGCGTCTACTGTCTCCTTAATAAAAATCCATTACGCGCTTATTCAGAGGGACATGAAGTGTATTGGCTAGGGATGAAAAAGGTACGGGCATTGTAGGGTACCGCATGGCTCTTATCGTTTAAAGATGTCTAGTTATAAATAGGTTGATGATACAGGATAATAAAATTACTATACGTAATGGATACGAACAAGGTACTGATATAAGTTTTCGGATACCGACTACACGGGATTCTTAAGTTTTTACCTAACTAACGCTTGAAGATATCAATTTTTCAAAAATCAACTTTTAGATCCCTAAATTTTAATCTCATCAATAGAAAGGTCCTTCTATTTAATAATTGTGGAATTTCGAAAATGCCCTCACTCACAAAATAAACTTTAACGTTAGATCTAGACATCCCCGAAAAGGTCATTTGCTTCGCAACCAAGCATGTCTTTTTCCTCCCCTTTCAACAATAAAATCCAATAGCTAAGCTCCACAGCCATCAATGGCAGATCAACACCAACAAACCACCAACATCTCTAAAATCTTCCCTTTAAATTTTACACTAAAACTCAAATTAAGATACCTATCAAAAACACCAGAATCCAAATATTGTCCTCCTTCAAATTCCATCAAATCCAAAACTTAATCTCATATAATAAAAGAAAATTGAAGGAAATAAAGATTACAACAGCCACCGTCGTCGTCGCCGGAGTTACAAGAAGGGCAGTGAAATCGAATTGATCGGAGTCTTGGCTATCACACACAGTCACCGCCATCGCTGCCGGAGTTAATGGAGAAAGGAAAAGATGGTGACAGAAAAAAAAAAGTGTTTGGTTGAGAGATTTGAAATTTGTTTACCTATTAGATTTACTTGTTTTTATTTTGAAATTTGCATATTTTTCTTCATCTCTCTCTTCTTTTGCATTTTGTTCTGCTTCATTTTACTTAAACATTTTTTTGCTTTTTTTAATGCTCGTTAGAGGAAAATACAGAAACAAATGAGAAAATAAACACTCAATTATTTATTTTTTTATCTTTTAAAAAAAGTGCAGCAATACTAGCCTTAGTAGTGTTAGCAGTGGTGGTGTCTGTGGTGGCAACAATGGCAGTAATTATTTATATTCAAAGAAACTAAACAGTTCCAAAAGAATGACCATAAGTTGCAGAACTAGAGAAAATTACGAAGAACAAAAAAAGAGGAGTGATATAGATGACCAAAAAATCAAGAATGATTTTTAAGTAAGAGTATTTTCGAAATTCCACGTCCATTTGACGGAAAAAATTGTTGATTTGGACGGGAAGGACTTTTCCGGATTAAAATTTAGGAATCTCGAAGTTGGTTTTTGAAAACTGATATTAGGCCAAAACTTAGGAACCCAAATATTATTTTCCCTTAATAAAAATTGTACTTTTAACAAGCTCGGATATGGGTAGTTTAAGATTCGCGAGTACCCTATCTGTTTAAGGGTAATTTAAATATATTTTGGACAGGTACGGGTCGTAAAAATTTAATGGGTTCTGATACTGGTAATTAAATGGATATTTAATCGGGTTTGAAACGAATATGGATAGTAAAATTTTAAATGAATACGAGTATAAATAGCTTAAAATTTGCGGGTACCCGCTCTGCTTCCATCCCTAGCATTGACACACAAATTTAAATGCGTTTGTAAATGGAAAATTTTTGTTGTTAGGAATAAGACTCAATTTACCAGTAAACTTTGGCAAAAATATATAATTTACTTAAAAATTACTAACTTTTTGTATAACAATTTGTAATAAAAATATCAAATGTCTAATTTTCATTCAAAAAATAAATCATTTGATATAAATTAAATACGATTAAAAAATTAATTAAATATTTAATCTAAATCTAAGATAATTAAAAAATAATAAATAATTTTAACCAAATATTTCAATATAATCAAATTTTTTTCTAATTCTATAATATTTTTGCTTGCTTAATATATAAATTTGCTCCTAAAATTTACGCGATTTATCTTGTGGCACCCTTAAGTTTGCGGAGAACCTATCATGACCATACGAAAATAAAATAACTTTAAAAGAGATCAATTATGACAATGTATTTTTACATTTTAATTTAACGAGAGGTGTAATTATTACTAAAATGTAAAAGTGTAAGATCATGATAGGTCAACCACAAATTTGAGGGTGTCACAAGGCAAATTGCATAAACTTTATAGGAAAATATATGCATTTGACCTTTTTTTTTTTTTTTAGATCAAATACTTATTAAATTATTTGTAAATCAAATGCTGCAAAGTTTTATAGTTATATTATATTTTTAAGTTATTTTTTATTTTCTAATTTTAAATTTTTTGAGTAATTTTCATTAGTTAAAATGATGAAAAAAATTGGGCTTTTTTTATCAAGTTTAAAAGGCAAATTGTACAAAAAGTTAATTTTTAGAACAATTGTATATTTTACCCAGATTCAGAGGGCAAACTAAATCTTATTCCTTATTATTACTCTAGAAAATTAGGCTTCACACTGGTTCAATTCCAAATTGAAACCAAACTGAATTAAATTGATTGAAATTAGAATTAAATCATAATAAATAATTCTCGATTTTAAATCATATTAAATTACGTGTCTATGATTCCAATTCCTATTTTTCATAATCAAAATTGGAATTTGGGGTTAAAGGCGTAAAAAATGGTGAATTATAAATTTGGTGTTTTAATGGAAAATTTTTGCTAATTAAGTGTCTTAACCACAACAAAATTTTTTCATTGAATATCCACCGTCCCTGTGGCTCGCTGAAATCACAATTAAGACACAGTTAGCTGAATTGGCTAAAATTTAATTTCTTGGATTAAAATCATGTGCATTGCACATGATATGAAAATTACTTAAATATCCATTGTGATTAACTTTTCAATTGATATACAAAATCTAATTAAACAAATTTTTTTCTCCCTCATGTTCAATGTAGAATTGAACTGGTCATTACCAATAAAGGTCGAGGCCTACTGAAATGAAAAGTTCAACTAAGTTTAATATAGTTCAACCAAATTTTTGTATATAATTTTTTAAATAATATTTTAAATAAAATTAAAAATATAAGACTTATAAATACTAAATAAATTGTATAAAAAGAATAAATTGCTCAATTTAAATATTAATATTATTTTTTTTAAAAAATAAAGCATATTATTTTAAATTAACACAAATTAAATTTAAAAAAGAAAAATATACCATTTCTTAGGATGTAATTGGATATTTTATTAAGTATTTGGCTTTAATTACAATTATATTGAGAGTTAATTGTAATAATTAATTATTGACTGCATCGAATTATAATAGAAGCGTATAAAAAGAATTAAATTCTCAATTTAGAAATATTAATTATTTTAAAAAATAAGCAATGAATTTTAAATTAACACAAATAAATTAAAAAAGATATCCAATTTCGTAGGATGTAATGGAGTATTTATTAAGTTTTGGCGTTTAATTATCATAAATGAGAAAATTAATAAAATTAGACTGCATAAATGTAATTGGGAAAAAATATAATTTAGATATATATTTAATAATTGGGAAGGCAAACATCTCATGTGATGTTTGTCAAATAAGTGCATATTTAGGAATAAACTGTCAAAATGAGCTGTCAAAATAGTTTCCTTTTAAATTTGAATCGAACCTCAGTAATAATTAGTGTGATTCCTATTTTGCAGAATAAAAATTGGGATTCGGGTTTAAAGGAATAAAAAAATTATAAATTTGGTGTCTTAATGAAAATTTTTACGAATTAAGCTTTTATATCCAAAAAAATTTTAATTGAGTGTCCATTGTCCCAGTGGCTCGCAGAAATCGCCACTACACATTGAAAAGTTGGCTGAACCCTAAAATGGATTTACTTGAATTAAAATCATGTGCATTGCACATAAATGGAAGACGAAATTATTTAAATATCAATTTTGATAAAATTCTCAACTAATAAACAAAATCTAATTAATATTTTTTTCCTTACGTGCAATGTTCTGAGAACAGAACTAATCAGTAAATTAATGAAAGAAAGGATTTTATGAACCGTGAGGTTCAACCTAGTTATGAATACTACAATTCAATCGGATTTTTAATGTACACATAATAGGTGACTGGTGAAGTGTTCTGGTTGTGTGATGTTATCAAAATACTTCTATATCTCTATAAATAGATTTATTTAATGTACACATTATATGTTCATTCCCGGAAATCACAAATCCCTCAAATTGTACCATATAAGCTTCTTCATCTAAGTTTCAATTCAAAAATGCAGTTTTCATATCCATTGAACGAAATTCTAAATCAAAATGTGCTACTAAAACTTTTATTTAAAAAAAAACTTTGTTGGAGATAGGAAAGAATGTTATTATCATTGAAGTTATTATCTTTTCTTTGGATAAAACGCTACTAATATGCTTAAACCTGTCTATTTTTCTATTTGAATCCTTCTTGACTTTATACATCTACTTATAATCAATTAATTCAAAACTTTTTGGGGATTCAACAAGATCTCATACCTCATTTTTATATATTGACTGAATTTCATCAACTATTGCTTGTTGCCATGCATCACATTGTACGCGATCGCTTTACCATAATTAAGTGGATCTATCATTTGTCCAACATCATTATCATTCTCCCCCAAATAGGCAACATAATTATCAAATATGGTAGATATTCTTTGCCTATTTGATCATTTAACAACTTTTTCTTCTACTTGTTAAGGTGCATATT